CAAAGATCAGATGCAATTAAGCCAGGGGCCATTCATATAATATTCTGACAAAGAAGCTAGCTGTATTTCGCCTATGTCCTGAAACTTTGAGTGAGGCTGAGTCTAATTTATTTGTCTGAGAAAGTTTCTAGACAGTACAGAATTCAAGCTGTAAAATGGCTCAGTGTACATGTTAATGTGTTCCTATCATTAAACTGAAAGAACTGGAAGTGTTAGCCTTCCCACTGAAAGTCCCAGGGTGGAAAACTGCAAAAGCATTTGGTATTCACCCTGCTAGAACAGGGCCACCCAGTAAAATGCTTTCCCAGGTTTAGCCATTCAGGCGACACATGGGGGAGTGCCTAGGCCTTGTTCCAATGATATGACACCCTTTAAAGATCCCCCATGGAAGGTCTCACCCTCTCTGGGGAGCAGAAAGGGAATGGGATAGGGGGTTGGTGGGGGGCAGGAGAGGAGGGGAGGGAGAGGGAACTGGGATTGGCATGCAAAAGAAGATTGTTTCTAATTTAAATAAATAAATAAATAAATAAAGCTGATGGGGGAGGTCTTTCTTTCTGTGTATGTTTATCTTATTGGTTGTTGAATAAAATATTGTTTGGCCAATGAAGCAGCAAGTAGGTGGGACTAGGAGTCAAGGGGGATTCTGGGAAATGTAGTAGAGATCCAGGCAAGAAGTGGCATAGCAGGCAGACTCATATATAAGCAAGGACAAGAAGGAAGTCTTTCCCTTTTCTCTTGCTCTTCCTCCTGGTCTCTGCTGTGGAGTTGCCATGTGATCCGCCAGCAAGAGAGGGCACCAGTAGAAGGCGTCCACGATAAGTCTTATAAAATATATAGATTTATGATAATTAAGACTGAGCTAGTGTATAAGAAATCCTAGTCATTGGCCAAGCAGCATTTGTACCTAATATACGTCTCTGTGTGTTACATAATGTGCTGGCGGGTAGACTAGCGCTAAGCGCCCATGGGGCAGCAGGGCTTGGGCGGCTTGGTGGAAAGACTTATTATTACATAAAACTCTTCTCTTTTGGGTTATGCCCATTCTATACTATGTGGGGGTATAATGCTCTTGATATTTCTCACTATATACTCAGACTAAGAACAAGGCTTTGAGCCGGATGGTGGTGGCACGTGCCTTTACCCCTATCACTCAGAAGGCAGAGGTAGGTAGATCTCTGAGTTTGAGGCCAGTGTGGTCTACAGAGTGAGTTCCAGGACAGCCAGGGCTATCCAGAGAAACCCTGTCTCAAAAAATCAAAACAAACACCTTCCCCCAAAAGAAACAAACAAGAAAATAAGTCTTTGACCTTGGAGAGGCAGACTGTACATGTGGAGAAGTCTTGCTAGCCAGGAAGTAAGGCAACGGTGATTATAATATAGTGGTATAAAAACTACACAGCCAACTTTTCTGATGATTTCGAGAAGGAAGCCACTATTTCTTGAGCACTAACGTGATGTACGTCTACAAGTGGAGAAAGGGATGGAGACTGTAATGACATTTGGTGAAAGGGCCACTGTAGGCCTTCAGTTCTCCTACAGTGACAGCAAAAAGAGCCAGGGATGTTCTTTCTCCTCCTTGCCCATAAGACACAACAAAAAGACAACTATCTACGAATCAAGAAGTGGACCCCCATCAAAGCCTGAGTTCTCCAGCACATTGGTATTGGACTTCCCAGCCTCCAGAACTGTAAGGAATAAATGTTTATGATTTGTAAACAATTTAATATATTGGTATTGTGTTATAACAGTCCAAAAAGTCCAAGATAAACATTTTCTTAAATAACCATGATACTTAAGAGTCTCAGGGCTTTGTGCTGCTTTTATTTACTCAACCAACTTGTACTAAAACCAGGACACCAGTTAAAATTCTATGAAATGTAGTAGATATAATTTTGAATATACTGTAGTTTTCATTCGAACAGAAGAAAGTCATGAAACCATTATACAAAATACAAATTTAATTGTGCTATGAGACACGAAGGAAAAATTCAAGACTTAACAGACATCTCAGCAGAAGAGCCTACTCTATGGCAGAGTTAGAAGGACATATACTCTCTATAGTTTAAAGTCTCTCCTACAATATTAAATAAAAAGAAAACATGAAATATTTCTGGTTTAGCTATAAAGTTAAGTTTTCTTCAGATATTAGACTGGTGAACTCAAAGGCATGCTACCACCCATTAAATTTTGAACTTTTTTTTTTATTTTGGGTTTTCAGACTGGGTTTCTCTGTGTAACAGTCTTAGATGTCCTGCAACTCACTCTGTAGACAAGGCTGACCTGCAACTCACAGAGATCCACCTGCCTCTGCCTCCCGAGTGCTGGGTTGAAATGAGAGCACCACTACCGTTCCCTGAACATTTATTTTGGGAAGCCACATCAGGACAAACTGAGAATGCAAATAGCTGCTCTCTTCCTAGCATAATGATTTGAGAATAAAAAGAAATGCTAACAGGAAATGAAGACTCCATTTTCTGAAGATCTACTTCGATACAATGAATTTCTTACAAAAAGCAGAGTGGATGACTGAACCCTTGGAGAATGTGCTTACTAAAGCCTCTACATGTTCAAGAGGACTTTACGTTCCAGCTAAGAATGGCAAAATCTCCAGAATACTTTACAATCAGACATAACAAAAGATCAAGGACAGAACAGAAAGACAGAGCAACCAGGATAAACGATAACTCAGACTTTCCATCTAAAGGATAAACTCTTTCATTTAACACCAATATAAATGCTCAAGTTCTCTTGTTTTCAGTGGGGGAGTCAGCCACAGACTATGTGAGGCCCCCTGTCTCAGTGTGCTTATATTTAGAAGTAAGGTCGTCAAGAGGTAATTAAAGTTAAATTAGGTCACAAGGGTGAGGCCTAAGCCTATAGAATAGAGTTCTTAGAAGAGACATAAAAATCCTTTCATTCTTTCATTCTCCCCTCTTTACTATTGGGAGACATAATAAAAAGGTTGCTGTCAGTAAGTCAGAAGGAGAGCTCATATGAGAAACGAACCTGCCAAACCTTGTTCTCAGCCTTCAGCCCCTGTGAAAAAGTAAATCTATTATTTAAGTCAAACTGTGTATGAATTTTGTTCTGGAAGACTGAGATGACTAATACACCTTCCTCATTCTTTTCTCCTCTGGTGTCTAAAGTGCCCTTCACTGTGTGACTCAGATGCTCAAGTTGGGGGATGTATCAGAGAATAACACCATGTTACAGTGTGAGAAGTACTCCTTTGCACTTGGAACAACTAGACAGGAAAGAAATAGTTCACCAAGACACTTCCTATGCAGAGAGGGAAATGAATGGGTGATTTTTCTCTGGCTGCATTTACTTTTAAATTCTTGAAATCTCCTATTCTTTTGTACAAAAGCATAAGTGCTCTGCAGTGATCCACATCTGGGTCTTTTCAGCTGTGATCAGCTTATCTCAGAATCCCACCAGGGTTGTGATGCAGAGCATACAAGGTTATCAATCACTCGAAATGCATTTAATACCTCAGTACTTTGCAAACTGATGTGCTCAAATCACTGTTCCAGTGCGACTGCTGCCTTCCCATGAAGGGAAAACGGCATTATATTAAAGATGGGCAATGCTACAGTGATGCTGGATTCAGACATGTGGCTGCTTGTTTGCAAGGACAGCGGCTACACTTCCTCAGGTGAGATCCCCCACTTATTTATTTGGTAGAAGTCATGGATATTTAAAAGCACACATCTTTGTGGCTGGCATTAAACTTGAAATCTGGTGGGCAACTTTTCAAGAAATAAAAGCTACAAACAAAATAGCTTTCATTCCATTCAGTACGCTGTGGGAAACGACTAATGGATAAGCATTACTGTGACTGGCAGGGCGAGCTGCCAATAACAGGGATTCAAGCCCACATAAGAGCAACACTTTCTCGGCTTATTTCACTAATTTGTCAAAGTAGGACATTATCTGACGGGAAAGAAAAACAGGGCTAGAGAGCATGGGAGAAGGGAACATTTCAGAGTAAAAGTTCTACCTTTTCCACCACTGGTTTGTAATCTCCCTTCTGTGTAACTGAGATTTTCTTTTACCATTACCTAAACCACACTGCATTCAACACAGCTGTTTCTTCTCTGGCAGGATACATGCCCATTATTTACTTATTACTGCTTTGTCTTCTTACAACAACAACAAAAAAAATGCAGAAGCGAAGAAATGGTGGCATTCCAATGCATGTCCTTCAGAGAGACTGCAAACCTTGGATCTGTACTGCCTCCTCATTCGCCTGTTTCCTGCTGGGGAGGGGAGGGGAAGAGTCCAAAAGTGCTCTCATCTCTTTTCCTTCTTCACCCCTTAACTCCTAATTCTTTCTTACCACTTTAGATAGACAAATCAAATTAAACGCTAAGCAGGTCCAAACTTAGCAACTTCTCACATAGTGAAGATCCACCATCATAAAAGTCAATTCACTTCATTATAGTTTCAAAATTGTAGTCCAAGATTTAGTAGACAACACCTTATTTTATTTCAGACAACTCTTTCTCCTGTAGCTGCTAAGTGCACCGAGTCTGAGGTGGTACTACCTGAGTTCAAATGATTCCTACCGAGCAGATTTAAATACGTGGGTTTCATCTCTGTGCCTCCCCCTCTCCCTTGGAGTAGTAATTAACATCACATCTTATTTTATGCAGCAGAGAATGCATTATATGGACAATTAGCCATTATCAAGATGATGGGAGAAAACAGCTAAAAGGTACTGTTTCAATCTCAGTATTCATTAGCACTATTAAAGAGTTGTACGGAAAACCAAGCAAAGGCTCGTTTGTCTTAGGTAACATGAAACAATATTCTTGTACATCAAAAAATGAAAAGCATTTAGAATGAAATCCTTTCTTCTACGTTAGCCTCAACTGAAGCCAAGACTTGCACTTGACTTTCAGAAACAGTCAGCTTTCCTAAATAACAGCAAATGGAAACCACAAGCCATCAGAGTCATTTAAAAGGCAAGCAGAGACCTTGCTCTGTGAGATACATACTTCTGGGGAGATCTGTTGTCAACTTCAGCCTTCAGGCGTAAATTCTCCCTCAGAAGGCCACCATTTTCCAACTTCAATTTTTTATTTGCCTAAAAGAAGTTAAAAATAATTAAACACAACCTAGCATAGAAGTACCTTGTAAAAATTATGACATGAGCCATCTGTATTCTTACAGCAATTTCGGAAAACTGAATACCAGACACATACCCTCAAAAACATCAAATCACCAGTGGGAATAACTTGAAACTGCAAATACAACTAGGCATTTAAAATCTACACTCCCCAAGCACCCCCCCCAATCCTCTGCTCAGGGAAATGAAGCTGTGTTAGTTAGATAGCTCAAAGCCACTAAAGGACCACACTAATGGTAAATATATGTATTACTTTTCTTTTCATTTGTCCATAATTGAATGCTCTAAACAAGATTGTATCATACACAAATATTTACAAACTGATGCTAAAGAGTTAATTCTTAAATCACAAAAGAGTCATTTCTTGGTTCTATTCAAACACCTCCCCAGTGATAAATCTAGCATGAGTAAGCTACTCGTTTTCTTTCTTTAATAAGTCTTCCTTACTCTGTCTTCCAACTTCTAATGTCCTTAAAATTTGGGCAGTATTTTCTAGTAAGCTTCCAATTGTCCTTTGACATACATATGTAAGAAAAGAGTCCTTCAAGCAGAACTGTTTTTTTCCTGGATTTGTTCAATGCCTAAAAATTACTAAAAACATTCAGTGGCTCATCTGGAATACACAGACTGTCACAAAAAGGAGGAAAAGAAGCTATACGCTCAGAATCAGACAGCTTAAAGGGGGATCAATGTTCTTAGCCTTTAGAATTTTCTTAAAAGCTCTTTTATTTAAATTTCTGTTACTGCTTTTGTATAGTACTAACAAAATTAAACTCTATAGATTAGCCACCAAACTTACTCACCCAGCAAAGAAAATGCTATGGCTAGAACATTAATGTTCGTAGTTAACAAATCACAGAATTATTGTCAGGGAAAAGGAAAGAGTAACCTAAGATTTTAAAACATAGTTTTTTACTAACTTCCAGAATGCATTATTTACCTACTTACATACAATTGTACCTCAACAATAACAACAAAGGGGGGTAGACAATATTCATTTGGAGCCTATACATTTACTCAAACTTATTTGGGTTTGTTTCACTCTGAGTACTTGCTCACCTTCATGGATGCACATAAACCAGGATGATGGAGGGTTAATTCTTTAAGTGACTGATAAGACACCATTATTACCCTCCTGAAGATACAAGGAAAGCCATTTACTTCCTCATACATATCAACAGTGAATTATGCTTTCAAGCATAGCCCCATAAAGGGAGGCACTTAGTGAATTTTTTTGATGATGACAAGAAGCTTAAATTAGAACTCACCTGACTTCTTCCCTACACCCACCCATAACCCTGCTATCACTCTATGTTTGAAGGTCCCTCACCAGTCCTGTGGCTTTTTAATACTTCTCATTATAGGCTGGATAGCTCCTAACTATTAAAAGGAAATAAAGGTTATAAACAGTAGAGTTCTGCCTACTTATAGTACCCGGGAATATCAAAGACTTTAATTATTGTCCATTCTCAATCCTGACTGGGAATGATGTCTCATAATGTTTCCCAACTCACTGAATCCAGGGAGCATCACAAGTCCGTTTGTGCATACCAAGTTGTACTTTAGGAAATGCATTGGACTTAGACCATTATTTGTACTTCATATTTGCAGCTTGTCTCTGAAGTTTATGTTTCTTACTCATTCATAATTTATTACCTAATACTATCACTGGGTACCCCAAATAGGCTTATTAAATATCCCAAATAACTGTGATGTCTTAGGATATTTGTGACCACTGAATTTAAACATAACCGTGCTTTGCATAGCCTTCTTTTCATATGTTCCTCATAGTGACATTATTAGCCCAGAGTGAATTCTGCATAGAGCTTCATGCTCTAAGAAGTATTTCTGCCAAGAATCTAGTAACTAGAGGAGACCATATACAGCATGCTGGTGACTCAGAGAAAAACATATAAGTCAAAGGAGAAACTTCTGCTTTAGTTTTCCTTACCTTTTAACAAAGGTGACACATTTACACTAAGGCTGGCTGCCTTACAAACAAAAACGAACTATATACTTCCTTCAAAAAATACAGGCAGGTATGTACAAAGTTTCATTTCTTCTGAAAGCAGCTTCTCTCTGTCTTTCACACTGGCTTGATGAACCACATAGCATTTGTTTTGTATATGGAAAATGGTTTGCCCTGAGTTGAAGATATTTCTCTGCTACTTAACCTCACTGAAGACATAAGCGCTAATATGCAGTGGTTCTTCTATAAAATGTCATAAGGAGCCATTAATGATTTCATGGCTGAAGACGCAGCAATTCCGAAAAGAACAGCATTTAAGGGAATACAGATAGGTTAAAGGGCGGTAGCAGAAGTGAGTGCTGTAAAACCATACCCATTTAGCACCACTGTACTCCAGGACAGGTATCCCGAAGTCAAGCTTGAGGCTGGCCTTTGTTCCAGAAAGCAATACAACACCTGTCACTGCTACTGTTAATGGCATGCATCTTTATCTCCCTTCTAGGTTTAAACCAATCCTAAAGGTTTGCTTCCCCACCCTGGACTAATGTTCTCTGTATCTTGCTGGATGGATAGACAAATAGGAAAATGATTCAGCCTCATACGCCACATTACTCTTCTGCGTAAGTGGTCTGAAGTAGGTGCTCACAGATTTCTCTGAATTAGTCAGCAAACTTTCAACATGTACTTATATTCAGCTTTCAAAATCACACAATGATAGTGCTAGGAAAGGTACAGTTAAAATCTTTTGTTCAGCTGGGTACAGTGATATACACTGTTAATCCTAACACGACCAAGAGTCTGAAGCAGGAGTGTGGTTAGTTTCAGGCCAGCTTGCGACACATAGCAAGTTCCAGACAATGTAGTGTGATCTTGCCTCAAAAAAAAAAAAACAAGCAAATAAACGATTCTTTGCTAAGCAGGGAATGGGATGTGTTTGCTTTAATGACTACAAAGCAGCCAGTGCTGTAAGCTTAAAAAAATTAACAAACCACAGAGGGGGGTGAGGGTGGGGGAACGAAACTCATCCTTTTAACAGGGGCAACTCTTCCAGAAGCACTCATATACAAGCAGTACATTGTCTCCAATTATAGTCACAAACGGAGCCACCTGATATTTCTTGGCAGCTAATGACAGCTAATGAGACGACGTTTTCCTATCGCATGTAAATGCTCATCCAGGGTTTCGTCCTGCTCTCACAAATTAGCTAATGGTGAGTCAAGGTACATGGCTATTTATACTTGTGAAAGTACTTAAAATATTGTAGAACTTTGAAAAGAACCATCCTAGATTTTCCCCCAAGACTGCAACTTACCTCTTTTAACTTATCCACATCATCTTTTACTTTTTCATAGATTTCATTAGCCGTTCTGAGTTTTTTCTTCCACTCTGCTACCGACTCTGGGTCAACTTTACTTGGATTATCTGCCACTGGGTGCTTGTCTTCGTTCTGGCTGCCCTGCATCAAGGCTAAAGGGTCCAGAATAGTCTTGATCTGTGATTCCAAGCTGAGATTCTTACTTTTAAGTTCTTCTACTTCTTTCTGCAAACAATCTATTTCATCCTAAAGAGTATGGAATTCAATAATTAGATATGGACTAACGCTATATGCTGAGCCAGAGTCAATGTGTTCTTGAATATTACATTCAAATTTTTATACATACATGGACCCTTTATCTAACATAACAGTTTTGTAAGGAAAAAGTCAGTTTAAATTCTCAAAACGTTTTCTGACTCTCATAAAAATTGGTACCACACTAACATTTTAATTCAAAGACAGCTCTGATTTTATAAATGTCAACCTTTTGATTTTGCTTAAGATATAATCAAGAAATTAAGAAAAAACATGAATTTCAACAAAAAAGGAGATTCCAATTCAGAAGGAAAACTTGAGGCATGTTAATTGCTTTATAAAAAAATTTAAAACTGTTGTTCAAAATAGCAACCAGAATTTTGTTTATATTTTTGCTTGAACAAAGTAGGAATGAAATCTTTCCACTTTTCATCCCAGAGTAATAGCAGTAGTGGGGTCTTGAACCATTAGTCAAGGCCATGCAAATATCTGCTTCTCTACTCTGGGACTGCTGTTGCTCTTGCGTGTGACTGCAAACGTTTACGGTAGATTCTTCCGTTTAATACTGGGACGCTTTGCTGATCAGAGGCTGTAGTGTACCATACCCTGGCAGCTTTCTCTATGCTCTGCAACATGGAGGGACTAGCTGCCCCAGAAAATCTTCCTGCTCTCTACCTAGCCTTACCTGGAGCATGTCTCTAGGCCCAGGATGCCTGATTTATCCCTAGGGTGACGCTTGACACAGTTCCCAGCAAATGCTCTTCTCCTGATGACCCACATGGTAATTAGGCAAGTGCTCCAGCCATTTTGACAGGACCCTACAGTCACACACAAAGCCTAATGATAGGAGCCTGCCACCTAATGAAAATTAGGGTTTGTCCTCAGTCTCCCCAGTCCTATATATTCCTATACTATGGAATAAAGTTGAGCTGATTCACCTAAGTGTGTCTCCTGGAGGCTGTCTCTGTTGTACCCACTGGACCCTGTTCCTCACTTGTGTTCCCTCCCCCCTCATAGATCAATGCAGTAGCAAGGGTCCTGAGCAAGAGGCAGAGCCACAGTGTAATAGCATACACTCTTCTATCATGGACACATATCTTAATCTGAGGCTGTTAAACATTCTACAGAAAATAAACTCTAAATGTCAGTGCTTGTCTGAATGTCCCTCCCAATCTCCTGCTGAAATGTAACTGCCATTGTGATAACATCACAAGGGGGTAACATCAACCAGCCAAGGCCCTCATGAATGGGTTAATGCTGACATCTAGGTTATCAATGAACGGGTCCCTGACTTATCAAACAAAAAGAGCTCTGGGACTCTTTCTTCTCTTGTTCTTTTTTCTCCACCACCATGTTGATAATGCCTTAACATTAGCCTGTAGAAGCATTAAGCCGGTTTAAGGTGCTCTGATTTTAAAGCAAGAGAAACAGACTGAAGTCAATGACCTCTGATTACTATCTATGACATTTATTATGGAAGGTGAATTTTAGATTTGCCACAGTACTATTTACTAGTAAATTATCATATATGTTATAGCATTCTAAAAGAAGTTGTGTTCTTCCCTCCCTCACTTTCTTGTTGTTTGTTGGTTCTGAGACAAGGTCTCTGTGTCAGTGTTCTCAACCTGGGGTCCAACAACACTTTCATAGGTGTCACATATCAGATATCCTGCATGATATTTACATTACAATTCATAACAGTAGCAAAATTGCAGTTGTGAAGTCACAACAAAATAATTTTATGGTTAGGGGTCATCACAACATGAGGAACTGTATTTAAGGGTCCCAGAATTAGGAAGGTTGAGAACCACTGCTCTCCATAGTCCTGGCTGTCCTGGAACTCACTATGTATGTAGACCAAGCAGATCTCCAATTCAAGGACATCTGCCTGCCTCTGTTTCCCAAATGCTGGAATTAAAGGGCTGTGCCATCATACCCAGCATAAGAAGTTACATTCTTTAAATCAATGTAGCTAGGACATATTTATGTATCCATAAATGTAGAAAACGTATGATGCAGGAATGAACATTTATTCCATCACTTATGCCCCAACGTATTAAAATGTTTGAGGAAGCTGGGGTAGTTTCCATGTACAGAGTTTAATTTAAAGGTACTTTCTATCATACTATATTTATACAGCAGTATAAATATCTGTTGTGGGCCAATCAGCCATTCTGTCTTTCTTCAAATTGACCAACCCTAAATTAGGTGGTGAAGACCATTCAGTGTCTTAAAGCCGAAGTCCTCGAGAAAAGACTAAACTTTTCAGTTTCACAAGTCCCCCTTTGCTTTGCAGAGGATCTTTTTCTTTGTGTATCTGCTACATCCCACAAAAAGCCTTTCTTCAACTGCCAAAGGGGGGGGGGAGTATTTTCTATAACACTAGAGAAAATACAATATATACATGTACACATATATATGTATATATTATAAAATCTCTACCCCTCTTTAATGAAGACACAATGACAACATCCAAAAGTGTATTTATTCCAGAAGCATGAATTCATTTGTAAAAATTCCACGTTCATTATAGATCAATCTGCTTAGTCATCTTTAGACAAAAATTAGAAATAACATATTTCACACTGAAATCCCTAGGCTAACAGATGACACAATGTTTATTTAGTGTATCAGAATTGGTCATGTTTATAATCATCAGTCCATCTATAGGTAGTAACAAATTAATTGAGTTCCCTAAGTGGGCATCTTTAATATAATTGTTCATTTATTTAAAGAAACAAATACATAATGACTGGCAGAGGTACAAATTATTAAAGAACACACATACACACACACACACACACACACACACACACACACACACACACACACACACTCTAAAGGGAGGGGCCTGGAGAGATGGCTCAGTGATTAAGAGCATGGGCTGCTCTTCTAGAGAACCTGGGTTTGGTTCCCAGCACCCACATGGCAGTCCCAGGTGATCTGCCACCTTCTCCCGGCCTCAGATACCAGGCACTCAGGTGGTGCATAGGCATCCATGCAAACAAAACAAAATCACACATTGGGAAATAATTTTAAAGAAAAAAGGAAAATGTTGCCGTTTCTTCCCTTTCTATGAAATTCTAGTCATGTGTCCTTTACTTAAATAAAACCATTTTTCTATGTGAAATAGAAAAGGAAGAACTTATGGAATGTGTTTAGACTGGCTTCAGGGTAGGCATGGGGTGAGTGTGTGTAATCTCAAGGGTCAGGAGACTCTCAAAAAGCAAACCACCCCTCCTCCCAAGAAAAGATCTGCAACAAACAAAGAGACCACATGGCAGGGTCTGGGTCTAAGATGTGTGGGGCTTAGCTGGCTTCTCCAGGAAGTTCACTGCTGACATCACCTTAAAGCAGTAACAGTTACCTCATACTCTTTGTGGAGCAGCTCCAGTCTCGTCCTCCGAAGGTGCTTCCTGACTGTAGGGCTTAGCATAGGTTCACTTTCACCTGTTCCTCCTGGAGGGGGAAAAAAAAATCCTCAGTGTTGGTTTGGGCAAAATGAAAATGAATCTTTTCCATACTGTATTACATAATTCCCTAGTTGAGGATAATGGGAAGCCAATTACGGTTTAAAAAAGAAAATTAGTGTCACATTAGGAGAGGCAAGAGGAGTTTCAAACCAGAGCTAGGAAAATAACACAGTCTGGGAGACTCTTGGTGTTTTATTTTGGTTTTTCTTTAGTAAACATTACAAGGGAGCCTATAATTAGCCACAGGTGGACAGACCTTTCAGAAACTGGAGTAGTTGTAGTGGACTAAAGTTGTCTTAAACACTGTTTGAGATGGAAATGGAAAGGAAGACACGTGATAGAGAGCAAAAGACTGAGTGGGACTTTGGGATCATTTGGGGGTTACCATAAAGTAGACCTCCTCTACTTTAACTCTGAGGAAACAATACCAACCAACATCAAAAGAAATTCCTTTGGTACTGTGTTTACTTACCTAAACATCTTATCACAGCAAAGTCAATGGAAGAAGGGGCTACTTAGGATTAATTTATCAATTCTGAATACCGAGAATTTAAAACAACTGTTAATTAATTAAAACAAGTCTGGGTACCAGTAACACAATCTCACTGATTCTAATGACCCAGTTACAAAGGACTGAGTGCCAGCATTAGCTGTGTACCCCAATTTGTGAGAAATACACCCAATATGAATTCTTTCAGAGTGCTTTGAACTAATACTGGGTTTACTGCCTTTGCAGTTAGCAATATGAGAGCCAAAACATTTTATAGATGTTCTTTTTCAGGACAGTCTATCCAAACGAAAGGACGAACAAACTATTTTATTCCAGAGAGTTCATTCATACTACTTAGACAGGAATAAACAAGGCAGTCAGAGAGGTGAGGAAAAGCATTAAACTACTTTAATTATCAATGTTCTCATCTTACACAAAGACCTGACTCCTTGCTGAAGTTAAATAAGTCTAAGTAGAGACTTCACCCTGTGACCATAAGAGAAGCTTTGGATCCCAAAGTCCCACTCTGTCTTTTGCTACCACACAACTTACTTTTCATTTCCACCACAAACAGTGTTTAAGACAATTTCCCCTAATTTTACACCACTACAACTACTCAAGTTTCTGTAAGGTCTGTCCACCTGTGGCTAATTATAGGCTCCCTTGTAATGTTTACTAAAGAAAAACCAAAATAAAACACCAAGAGTCTCTCAGAATGTGTTATTTTCCTAGCTCTGGCTTGAAACTCCTCTTGCCTCTCCTAATGTGGCACTAATTTTCTTCTTTTAAACCTTAATTAGCTGTGGTGATATATTGTTTACGATCTAATAAACCCTGATTGAAGATCAGAACACAAAGCTACAGCCATAGAGGCTGTGCACACCTTTAATCCCAGCACCAGAGAGGTATATAAGACAGGAACTCAGTGTCTCATTGGGCTATTCAGTATTCATGTGGCACTCAGTCTCCAGCCACGCTAAGGACAGGATCGCCGTAAGAACTCTCTAGTGGTTGTCTGCTTTGCTTTTCTGATCTTTAGCTTGAACCCCAGGATCTGTCTCTGGGTTTTTATAATTCATGCTACAATTAGTTTCACATTATCCTTGACTGGACCAGAGTCGCCAATCTGCCTCTCTAAAGTGCAGGCCCCACAGCACCACCCAAGCAACATATCTAAGGCATATTTTGGGACACACCAGTCCCTTGCTCAAAACCTAAAGATCACCAACTTCATCAAGCCTTTCTCAGAGTTTCTTGCCTTCTTTCTAATACTCTCTGCCTTTTCTTTCCCCTTCTTAGCACTTGTAACCTTAAACCATAAATATGTCTGTTCACATGAAGTCTCTAATGTAAGAGGCATGAGGCCTTAGTGTTATTTCAGATCTTTCATGGTTCTTTGCACTACATATACTATATATAATTACTAATAAATCAATATGATATTGATCTGTAACAATGAAAACTTTAGATTAGTCTTCCCCAAACAAACACTGTTTATACACTGTCTTAAGTACATATAAAATAGACCCTTACCAATAATCTCTTTGCAAGGATTTTCTGCAGTGATAGGAACTCTGCAAGCTGGACACTGGCTGTTATTCTTCAACCACAAGTCGATACAGATGGAACAAAACACATGGTTGTTGGTGCATACAACAGGTTGACGGACCTGTGAAAAAAAGAAACATTACTTTAGTACCTAGCAGCTGGCCTAACTGGGTTCCCAATACAATGGAGTTTAGAGCAAACAAATTGTTCCTTTCAAGTATAGCCGAGGGGAGGTAAGGAGAGAACACTTAGGAATATAGAAAATGAGGCTTCTCTTAAGCACACTGTTTCTCCTATGAGAGAGCTGCTAGCTGACGGAGCTGGTCATGGAGACTGCAACTGAGAAGCTTACTGAGGAGTTAACATTCATGGTCAAAACGGCAAGGCTTTCTACTCACTGCTAACTTTGGGACCTTTTTCCGCAGTCTATTTTCTGTTGGAACCATCAGTCTGATGCTTAAATCCTGCAGCGAATCCCACAACACCAGGAAGTACCAACAACCACCAGCTATGCATGACAAGATCCCTGGTGACTGACTGTGCTTTGTCAGCACTCAATCCCTGGTACAATGGGCCTGAGGAACAGGATCTAGGAGGGGTGGACAGAACCACGTCTCCTGTTTCCTCTCTCACCAACAACTCCCTTTCTTTCTCTTGCCTCCTCTCCTCACAGGACTGGAAATTCCTATTATGAATATTGTGTTCTAGTTTTATCCTTTTGTTCATAAAATTTCTAGGAAGACAGAGCTGTATTTATACCATAGTCCTTTCTTCCCACCCACATACTACTGCAGTATTTTTAAAACTACATTATACCCCAAGATTAAGAAGCCCAGTAACTTTGAATAAAAATGGCTCCCATAGGCTCATATATTTTAATGCTTAGTTACTAAGGATTAGGAGGTGTGGCCTTGTTGGAGCAGGGATGTTATTGGGCTTTGAGGTTGCAAAAGTCCAAGCCAGGCCCAGCAATCCACCTCCCACTGCTGCATCCATCCCTGCCTGCAGATCAGGATGGAGCTCTCAGTCACTTCCACAGCACCGTGTGGACCACACCTCTAAAGCCTACGGAAGCCAACTCTGAACACAACTCCACACAGTGTATCAGGGCAATAAGGGAAAAGCAACTGGTGGAACAATTTAAAAGCAACCATAATATTCTATGTATTTGCTCATACAATAAAGGTTAAAGAGATCCCCCAATCTATAAAGACAGTTTTGATCAAACACACTAGTTGGCATATTATTGGCATATTATTTACTGACATGCCAATGGCAGGAGGAAGAGTTATTTATTTATTTATTTATTTATTTCTTTTTTTTTGTTTTTCGATCAGGGTTTCTCTGTGTAGCTTTGGAGCCTATCCTGGCACTCGCTCTGGAGACCAGGCTGGCCTCGAACTCACAGAGATAGTGCCTCTGCCTCTGCCTCCCGAGTGTTGGGATTAAAGGCGTGCGCCACCAACGCCCATTGAGTTTTTTATATATAGTAAAAGTCACATTTTGATCATGTCAAGTGTCTTACATCAAACTCACTTTTTTTTGTTGTTGTTGAGACAGGATTTCTCTGTGTAGCTTTGGAGCCTATCCTGGCACTTTGTCAAGGTTTGCCTTTCCTGGTACACATACATGAACAAGCGAACATTTCTCTACCAGGCTGGCTTCAACCTCAGAGATCCAACTGCCTCTGCTGGGATTAAATGAAGGTGTGCACCACCAACTCCTGGCCAAACTCACTTTTAAGGGGTTAAGCATGGCAAAAGAGGCTTTGAGGTCACTGGCGTAAAAGATTACAGCATCTAAAACCACAAGCCTGGTGCAGATTCCTGGTGCAAAATGGTTAGAGGCAAGTACAAGAGGCACATCTAGAAAAACTGAGAATAAGGCCTGTGATGTCAGGAAGGAAAACATGGTAGTTACCACAGAAATCAAAACAAAGAAACTTCTCATTAGGAAGTCAGTCCCCAGAAGGTAAGACAATGATGAGGTAGAGATGACACTGTATGAAATGATCTGCTACTAAAAAGAGTTTCTCAGCAAATGATGGGGACAGAAACACAAGGAGGCTGGTAGGCGATGAAGATGAAAATAGAAACTACAGGCAAGTCTCAGATGTAAAGGAGAAAACATACAAATTAGACTACAGTTAGTAATGTCACAGTGATGGAGAGGGTAGGGATAGCATAGCTAGAGCTATCCCTAAGCTAAAATTCCCAAGAAGCCAAAAGGGGAACAGAATTGGAGCACCAGGCAGATTTTGTCTTACACAGGAGGGAAGAGCCAGCTTCCATGTGAAAACAAACACAAGGGCTGGTTGATGCGAGGATGGGAAGGAGGGGATTCACGTTCCAGCTTTCTCAGTTGGAACTTACACTTTAAATCTGAAGTGAGGGATCAGCAAACGGTGAAGAAGGGCATAGTATCTAGATCTGAGAGAAGGAACATAGAGCAGTTATTGTGAAAAGCAAAAGGCAAGTTTATTCGGAGTATTTAGCAGGACTAATTAATTTTGTTTTGTTCCCATTTGAGGTCTGTGGTTTTGAATGCAATGTAAGACCAATTCACATAGGTGTGAATTTTCAACTATTGAGTTGCTCAGGCTTATTTTGCCAAAGAGAAAAAGGGAAGTGGTCACAAATGGTCATAAGGAAAGGATCACTTAAATGGTAATGACAATGAGAAAGTTGCACAGCATCAATGATGGGTTTCAGGAAGGTGGAGGGTGAGCCCAGCAAAAATGGAGTCAGAGAGTAAACACATCTGGTCAAGATACCAGGGGTGGCACCATAGTTTCTAATACTTGTCTGGGGCCATATTATCTGATATGCCCAATTTTCTCTCTTAATTTCATGTGTCGTGTTGCTTGTGGTTAATATCTGTTCTATGCTTACAACTCCCAAGTCTCTCTCTGACCTCAGTAACAGTTAAGTGTTTAGGCTTCTGAGATAAACCTGGGGTCAACTCCCAGTATCCCGAATTTTAACCTCAAGTAAACTTTTGGTTACTGTAGGCTTAGTTTTTATCTCTGAAAATTATGGCTAAACCTAATACCCTTTCACTTATGTGCTACCTTAAATGAAATAATATTTGCTAGCAAATTCACATAACTTGACTGTACTCACATGAATGTGCATGTGTGTACACGTGCACACACGCACACACACACCATTATTGCATAACCCTGGAATCAAATGCATAAAAAGCAGTTAGAGAAACCAGAAACATGGGAAGGAAAACATGTAGGGAAAGTACAGTGAGGAGAGCCAGCCCCAGCTCCATGACTATGTAGACTGTCGGCAGCAGGCTACACAGAAACGGCTTCCCAATCCCTGGGTTATCATGTGCCACAGTTGTCCAGGATGCCAAGTGTGGAGTACCAGGCTCTAACATTTGCTTTCTTGGGTTTCAGTCTTTCCTGAAATCTTTTTTTTGTTTTTTTCTATTCCTATTCCTCCCCTTTGAAAAAGAAACATTTACCCCACACCATTGCAGTTTGGAATTCTGTAACTTTTTTTTCAGTTCTTTTCTCCAGTGTCTCACAAGATATGGAACAATAACAGAATAGTTAAACTTTGGGACTCCTGGGGATGGGCTAAAGGCAGGTCATAATTTGAGATGGACGTGTGACTGTGGAGGCCAAGGATACAGTGCTATAGTCTGGATCCTGTACATTCTCCAGAGGCCCATGTGCTAAAAGGTTTATCCTCAGCCTGTGGCCTACTGGGAGATAGCAAAACCCAAAGGAAGTCATTTGTGACATCCCTGAAGGCTACTGGGACCCAATCTCTTCATTTCTACTCTTTGCTTCCTAGCTTCCAAGAGCAGATTCTCACCATGAACTCCGGTTATGATGTTGTGTTTCCTGTAAAAATTAAGAGCTACAATAACTACTTCCTGCTTATGTATGCTGGTGACTTTCTCACACTTGTGCGTAGTTACATCTTTATTAAAAGCATGGGCCCCCCCCCCTTTTCTGCTTTATGCCCTGCTTAGAAAACTAGTTATATCCCACTTTCACCATCAGGTTTAGTCTCAGTGGGTGATGGTGCAATGTCCCCTTTGTATATACTTACAGCACTTGGTATATTGCTTTGAAGATGGTTGGGATAATAAAAATAAATTCTGATGCAGAAAACCAAAAGGTGAGATAATGTTGCCCAAATTGTCTTCTAAAGCAAAAGGTTTATGTTCAAACAGTAAGGAAAGTTTTACCCCTCCATTCAGTGTACCAAGACAATTAAAAAAAGAACAACTCCAGGCAGATTACTCTGCTCTGGCTGCTTAGGGCCATCAACAATGCCCCACAGCAGAATCATTTGTACTGTTGGAACCTCCTATTATTGTCACTGTGTTAGGTTTTAGAGGTTGACTATCCATTTCTCTGAACAGGCTACTTATCAGATGATTTCCCGAAAACAGTGTAACTTTAGCTTAAGATCCTCCAGTTAGATGGTGGACTAGAAACTGCCTACACGACATGCTAAGAAAGAATAGACTCTATTCCAAAATAGACTCTATTCCAAAAGCAAAAAGAGCTTCAGAAATGTACGAGAGTGATGATACAAGGGTACAGAGTGCGAAGCAAAGAATGGGCAATGCACAGGAAAGAAGCAAGGCAAACAATACAGCTTCACCCATGGCATCCCCAGCAAGCAGAGGAAGCAGAGGTCTTCTCTAAAAGATAAGCTAGAGCCCTGGAGGCAAGAGACTGCCAGACACTCTGTAAAACTAAGTATGGCCAGCAGATACCTTAGCTTCATAGTCCAACTTCCCATCTTCCCCAAACTCCCCAGATTATATACCCTTCTCTGGATATTCAATCTGTCTCCCAAATGCAATGGGAGTCAGGAAGCAACCACAACACTTCAGACAAAGGATTTGTACTTTCCAAGCTCCCAAGTACTGATCTTGCTGCTGGAAGGATGTGGATGTCTGGAGTTTTGGGCTGGACAATCAAAGCCTTCTGAATCTACAGAAGTGAAAGGCAAACAGGTAGATCCAGGCTCGGAGGTATTAAACTCCAGAATTATTCTCAGTCGGAAGAAACTGCTATACAACAAAAGGGAATAATTGGCCAAGAGGATGTAACAGTTTTAAATAGAAATGCACTAATTGTTATTGAAGATACTTCAGAGTTAAACT